CAAAGCACGGGGCCGAGGCCAGAATCTTGTGAGACTCCACTAGTCATGAGAACAGGGGCGGAAAATGTTTCGTTTACTTGCACCTGCATCGTGCGGTCGTGAAAAAATCAGAGATCCAGGAGAGAAGCTTCCCGGCAACACCGATTCCTAGGAGTTTAGACAAAAGTCTTTCGTGCGGGACCTTGTCGAAAGCTTTGCTGAAATCCCCAAACAAAACGTCCAAGCGTTTACCGGAATCTAGCGATTTCGCCCATTTCTCCTTAGCAACCAGTAAGTTCGAGGTACATGAGCGTACTCATCGAAAACCATGCCGTGCACAAGAGAAGAGATTCAGTTCCTCGAGGTAGAGATGAAGAGCCTGATTCAAGATCCGCTCCATAACTTTACACAATATCGACGTTAAGCAGATAGGACGATAGTTGGCTGGATCTTGCCTGTTCCCTCCTTTGTATATGGGTTTTACAATGCCCACTTTACAAGCCGGCGGGAGACGCCCAGCTTCCAAGGAAAGACGGAAAACCTGACAGCTAGGAGGGGCGATGTACTGCGCTACAGTCCTAAGGAACAGGGGTTGCAAGCCATCTGGTCCAAGTGAAGATTGCGGATCTAAATCAATGAGAAGTTTAACAACAGTACTGATACTAATGTCTGCTGGATCCAATGGATAAGGACAACTGGACACAGTGTTGTCGCAGGCGGGAGTTTCTTTCGCAAAGGCGGAGGCCTACTGCTGAGCCAAAAGACTGGCTTTATCAGCGTCTTCGTAAAGTAAATTTCGATGTTCAAAGGAACACAAGGTGGGGATGCTACTGCCAGCCCTGGTACTTCTTCATAGATAAGAGAAAAGCATTTTGGGTGTCGTTCTGGAAAGTGCTGCTAATGATAGTTCATATTGCTGCCGTTTCTGCCGCTTCAACGTGACACAAGCATTTCTGCTAGTCTTGTAGGAAGAGTAATCGAACTCTGTTTGAGGTTGCCTGAAACGATCCCACAATATGCGTCTTCTGTTCAGCAGAGATCTCAATTCACCGTCAACCCAAGGTGGACCCCTCTTGAAGGACTTTCTACAGGAGAAAGGAACGACCTGCTCAATTAGAGAAGTCAATTTGGGGCGTACAAGTTTCCACGCATCATCAAGAGGAATGGGATCAGGAATACTCCAGTCCATAGCGCTTGCGACTCTTCTCAGACGGAGGGGATCCGCATGCCAAAAGTTCCGACGACAGCCACCTTGGATATGGATCGTGAGGCGACGTTTCCATTGTAATGCAAAGACACCATGAGCACTTTTGCCGATGGGTTGAAGCACTGTTAGATTCGTGACATCTGACTGAACTGAGGTGAGCACAAGGTCCAGAATGTTGTGCGTTTGGTCAGCAACAATGCGGGTTGGCATGGTGCCGTGTTGAAACAAATTACAACCGATAACAGTCCCAAGTAAGGTAGCACCAAAAGAATCGGGTGTACGACCACAAATAAGTAAGGCCCAATCGATATTAGGGGCATTAAAATCTCCCACGATAAGATTGTCCTTTCCCGCGACGTGTTTCCTGATCGAATGAAGCAAATGAACTCCGGACCCCGATGGTGCTCTGTAGACGACACCAATAGTGTAGGATCTGCATCCATCATGAATACGGCACCAAAGGGCATCAAAACCACCATCGTCGCCACTAGTAGCTGCAACCAAATGGGCCTTGAGTTCGGTCTTCCAGTAAAGTATAACGCCACTACCGGGCCTACCTCCAAGGCGGTCGGCTCGACAGAGACTGTATCCAGGGATAGAAACCTCTGAATCTATGATGTCCGCAAAAAGCCAAGTTTTAGTAAAGGCCATCAAGTCTGGGCGAGTATCTGACGCAAGCACCTGTACCTCATCAAGTTTATTTCTCAGACTGCATACATTGACAAAAAGTACTCGCAGTCCGTTCTCGTGCTCTACGGTCCTAGGTTGAGTAGAAGTGGCCTCCACCGGGTTCTCGGGGTTCTCCGGATTACGTGAAAATCCACGATGTGGAGGTCTGTCTCACCATTCGCTCAGCGAGGCCGAAGCTCAGCAACGGCTGTTTTCATTTTAATACGATCTTCCGGAGAAAGATCTCTCAGGACGTAAAAAGTCTCACCTTTCAAAAGTGGGGTTCGCCGGAGGATGCATCGGCATTCCTCTTCGCTTTGGTATACGATCTTGAGGGGGCGTACCTTGGAAGGATCCTCTTGCTTCCTGCCCAGGCGGAAGGCAGAGATAATGTTTATACCCAATTCACATTCTTCGAACGAAACGGATATCATTCGCTCGAGGAACCCTTTGTCATCCAGCATCCTTTCTGCAGAGGCGTGCTTGGTGGATTCTGGGCCGTTCACAATGATAAGACATCTTTCACGAGAGGGTAGTGGAGCGCGGACAGAGATCTGAGGCTGTGGTGACGCACTGTCCTTGAGCAACTTTTCCAGCTCGTTCACTTTGTCGAGAACAGATTTTATTTGGGTCTGGGAAACAGCTTTCTTGGGTTTGGACTTAGACTTCGCCTGCCCCATTGGGACAGTGGGAGTTTTCCCTACCACGGCAGCCTATGTCTCAGTCGCGGGCTCACTGGGCAAAGGATGTGTCAAAGGTTCTGATTGGGAAGCAGATAGAACACGGCTTCGTTTACCCGTTGGGGTAGTTGAGCCGGAAATAGGTGTGGACGAAAAAGGTGAGACAAGAGAGTCCAAGGCAGTGGAAGCTTCAAACTTCGCTGGAGTAGAATGAGGGCTCAGGACTGGCAGTCCGGCGTGAAGGCGTCGTCTGTTTAATAATGTACGGCAGCAAACAGTGATAGCCGATGTAGTATATCGTTGCAGAGACTAATAGAGTTCAGGACAAATGTCACAGCAGACAATATGCAGCCATCCGTCACACTCAGAGCACTGTACGGCCTTAGAACGCGAGGTCACACCTTCACTACAACTGAGACATTTTGACGTCATAGCTAAATACCCGGATAGCCATTCCCACTCGATAAACCGAAAGCAAATTCTTCACAAAATCCGAGAACTTGGAAAGGGTATCACTATTCGCAGCATTTGCTAAGCTTTTCCATGGAGTCACAGACGACCGGTGTCAATCGGATTGGTCGATAGTTCAAAGGGTCCTGGCGGTTTTCTCTTTTGTACTTAGGCATTACAATCCCAGTTTTCCTGTCGATGGGAAAACGACCAGTCACAACAGACAACTGAAAGATGGCAGGTGAATGAGGCAAACCAGTCAGCCACTGCCTTGAGGAACAGGGGATGCAACCTGTCAGAAACGGGTAAGGAGTTCATGGTTAGGTTGAGTAAAAGTTTCAAAACGGTGTCCGGCCTGTATTCACGGCGTTCTAGTCAGTAGGGCTAAGTGGACTCACGGAAGTTGTCCGACTGCGCTTGTGGAGCGTATACGGAGCAACATTACCAGGCAAGTTGGTTCGCTTTCTTCTCGTCTTCGTAAAGCGCGATTCTTGTCGGTTTGGATGCCAGAGTGGGCATGCCACCTCCGGTTTTGATTCCATTGGAGTGATAAGTATAGAGCTTTTTGGTCTAGAGGAGAATATTTCTGCTAAATTGAGTTCACGTTTCAGTCACTTCGCACGCTTTTCCTTGGAACACAACTTGGTAGGTGCCTGGTATTTCGAGTAACCAGATATCAGTTGAGGGAATTTGAAGTGGTCTCATGGTTCCCACAGTTGATTCATGGGCAGTCCCAGTTTTCGATGAATCCAAGGGGGTTGTGGTGGAAAGGCCAAACGGAAAGGAATTAACTACAAATAAGAACTCAGTCTATAAATAAGAATGCTGTAGCTGACCTTAGGTAAAGAACGATCCTCGGTGGGCCGTCAGTAAGCCGCACAACCTGGTCGGAAGACGAAACTTAGTTGACACAATAAATCGACGCGTTAGATCCGATGATCGATGGACGAAGCTAGCAGAACCACGGCGATCAACAACGCAACACGAGTAGCCAAAACCAGAAGGTGAATCAAACCCGAAGAAGTGTTTTATCGGTTGTTGGTCAGTTAAAACAAGGCTGTACAATAATAATGGAACTGAGAATAGGAACGTACAATTGGGAAGAAAGATATGTACAAGCGCAACAGGGTCCTTCCGCGCCGGACTGTTTCCTTGAGGTTGGGATAACGCGTTCAATGAGAAGGCTCATTATAAAGCGTAGAAGACTCCAGACAACCGCAACGCCCAGAGCTTTAGGGGTGGTCCAGTCCTGTGGACTAGCCACTGTCCTTCGGTGGGAAAAATTGGTGAGCCAGAGTTTCCGACGGTAGGCTAATCGTTGGTGAGTGACTAAGTGCTGCATCCAAGTGGAGATGCGAGTGCAATGCTCGATAAGTCCAGTTGGTGGGAGAGAGGTCGGGGACGTGAGCTAGTGCCGGTATCAGCACGTGAGCGAGGATGTACAGTGGCTGATCCAGCATTATCCTAGTTTGAACATATGCATCTGTAAAATATTATATTTCCAACAAACTGAGTAAATAATATGCGTGTTATGGTGTTCATACATTCGGCAGTTTCATGCTGAAGACTGCTTTCCGTAATGCACGATTGGCCGGGATTATTCAAGGAACAACCACATTGATTCGGGGTGCTGTGCCAGCAGGCAAGGTAAGAAAGTGTGAATTTTCCTTCAGACATCGCAGACACTTGTAAAGTTGCTTTACACTAAATACATTTAGTCAACACTGGCAACAGTAATAGCGCTCTGGTCCCATTTGAAATTAACAAAGTCAGCAAAAAAAGCAGGCGGCCATCGCCGAATTCGAAATAAATATTGCAATCCGAAATATTTTTGAGCGGCGTCCTCTCAATGCTAGGTGCCTTGGGAGACACAACTTAATGTTGTGTCAAATAAGACTGATCTCCATCGGTAAACCCATTGATACAATTGTCTATGTTGGTTTATTGCTTTTTGCAAAGTGACTTTAAACGTTTTGCGACTTTTTATTGTTTTCTGGCTCAAAATACTACGCGCAGTGTATACAAACCATTCATTTGATGTTGGTCAGCTAAGTACTTTTTAGAAATACCACGTCTTTGTTTTAATCCTTACGAAAAATCGAGAACAGAATCTGCGACCAAATTCTGTCTGCGCGTGTTCGTTACCATGTCTGGTGATCAGCCTACTCCGTAAGTCTTGTTTTTCGACATTTTGTCTTTTAAAGCTCCACACCTCAGGTACTCTGGGCTCAGAGGAAGGACATTTTATACGTCACTATCTCCCTAGGAGATGTGAAAGACAAGGTGATGGATGTGAAGGACGGTTCGCTGCATTTCAGGTATGGTTCGATGTTTATTTTTAATCCACAGGGGTAAATCGGGTACTCCTAAGCCCACTGATTATGAAGTAAATTTAGAGTTTTACAGTCAGGTGGATCCTGAGGTTTGTCAACCTTGTCTTGTTTTATGTCTCCGGTTAGAGTGTGAGGCAAGCCAACACGTGCAGAGAGATATTCCTCGTAATTAAGAAGAAGGAATCTGGTTTCTGGCCACGTTTGTTGTCTACTTCTGCGAAACAACCTTGGCTACGTGTTGATTTCAATCGCTGGAAAGATGAGGATGAATCGGAGCCCGAATTCGGCGGTATGGACGGTGACTTTTCCCGTCTACTTTCTGGTATGTCCGACAACGATGTCCCCGACCCGGGCATGGATGATTTCGACTCCGATGACGATGGTAAGTTTTGTACTCAGCAACTTTGCTTGCGGCCTTGTTCCCACGAGTTTGAGTTACTTACTATACTGCTAAACCGTACCTGAATAGCCACTAAGTTCGTGGGACTGGAACAGTACTAATTCCCTTGGGGTTTTTTCGTAAAAGCGTCGATACAGGGTACATGTCGACGGCGATTTCGGCAATCATCGGCATTCGAAGCCATGGTCAACACTTAATACCGGTGAGCCTTACACTAACAGTGCCCATAGCACCAGCCACATAAGAGTAAAAATACAACGTAATGAAATCGGAAATATGAACGTGCTAATAGTTAAGAGTGGGATCTAATATGTACTGGGGCAGATTTGGGACTGCAGCACGATGGCGTCGAGTTCATGCTTAGACACCTCAGTTCGTGTTGACACCATGTCCTCAGGTAACGCATTCTAGCAATCAACTACTATACGTGACACTCGAACGTTGATTTAAACTTCATCAGATCGTGGTTTGTGCAGCTTAATCGAATAACCACGGAGAGGTGGTAGTAGTGTTATTTCAAAAACTGAAGACGGTGATAGGCTTCCGTGTCCTAAGCATACGTGGGTCTTACTAGACCGAAGGGGCTGAAAGACGAAGGCTACTTCGTAGGCAGCTGAACAACCACCTTGTAAACGTCGGAGCTGCACGAAATGTGTGCCTGTTACACCTCGTGGCGAACTGGACGGCAATGTCACAGCCACTAACGGAGGACTGGGCGTGTGCTGCTTGGCTGCATGGAGTAAAAACAAGCACGAGAGATCGCTGCTCTGCCGACACTGAAGACGAATTGGAAGAGGAAGCTACAGTCGCAGCTCAGGGTACGCTCGACGAATTCCGACCTGTCGGTGTCCGATAGCAACACCGATGCTCTACACAAATCAGGGCCAGCCTTCCCTGTGAATACGATAAATCTTATTCAACTTGCCGCGATGTCGGCGGTAGTGCGGCGAAAATATTCCGAGCCTAAGGACTCTCGGGATATGACGGTTGATGTCCTTGAACCATTTTTGTGCCGATACTAAGGAGCCGCTCCACAGACGTCCTACCACAAACCAAGAAGTTAAGCCGCAAACTAGGTGCGGGCTAACGAAGGCTAGCAACAGGGGTGAACATTCCCGGTGTAATGGTTCCGAACCACCTCGCGCATCATCCACAGTATTCGGAAATCTTTGTCGGCGACCTTACAGTGCTCGCTCGAATTGGAAAGCAACACCCAACGTAACCAGCTGGGACAACTAAGGTTGCCCATACCATCCAAGTTGATATTGTGGGGGGGGATCGCTTGACCCTCACATACTATACACGTTAGCCAGAGGAAGGAAAGCTCAGCTACTGTGCCACAATACCTCAAAGAAAAGAAAATGCAACAGGTGCAAGCCAGCTGAGCTCCTGGTAGCGGATGGGCATCGTTCCAGTAAGCTACCTGCCGGCTGGCATGCAGCAGAAAAAACTGATTTACTATGCAAAATCATAAAAACGCTAAATTATGATGTCGTGACTGGAGGGGAAGCTAAGTGGATTTGGGTGGGACAAAGATACGGAAAAAACGCCACTGAGGTCGGCTCCTTGTCATCTTAGCAAGTGTATCCAGCCAAACGTGTTCATCGTCTTTCGGACCCCAACCAGGTAGCCGCGATGCCACAACTGAGGCCAGCTTCGAGGTGAGGGCCTTCATTCCTCAAACAACGCACGTCGCGGGAGTTGGTGGGCTGGCATGCGTAACACGTGGCCGATTTATCGGCGCTGAGTGGTTCGTTTCCTTCTCCTGTCCCGCAGAGAAGGCGTCGAACACGCTCCTTGCTCATGCGGTGTGCCCACCAGATGTGAGCCAAACTGCGAAGGCACCGATGGTCGAACGTAACTAGCCTCTTTATGTCCGCTGATCTAAGGGGCTAGGTTTCACAACCGTACAGTAGGGTCGTACTTACCACTGCATTGTACACTCTACGCTCCAGGGCAACAGTGATGTCGCGCCGGCGTCATTAGTAGCGAAGGTGAACAAAAGCGCCTCGAGCTTTTGCTATGCGGTTCGTGATCTCATCTTCAATCTCACGGGCGCTGATAACTTTTCAGCTAGTTGAATGTTTGAGACTTCTAGCTGATCCCTACCAAGCATCACGAAGTAAGCGGTCCAGGAGGAACGCTTTGCACTTCCATGTTGCAAAGCGGCTGACAACATGTGCTAATCTGTCCAGTGCTGTCCAGTGCCAGGCAAGTCTGGAAGCTGTCATAGATTAGGGCAATATCGTAAGCATACTCCAAGTCAAGAACTCCTGAGAGCAGATCCACACCTTAGTGGTGTCCTGTAAACGCGATTTCAATGACTTCATCAATAGCGAAGAGGGAAGGTGACAGCGGACATCCTTGTCTCACACAGCTGGAGATATTAAAGGGCGACGACAGCTTGTCGTAAGCTCTTACTCTGCCTGAGCTACGTGCGTATAATGATCGGATAGTTACATATTTCTCAAATACACCTTTTCTGAATAGACAGTCCCAAAGTGCACGTCTATCCACCGAATCAAATGCACCTTTGATATCGAGGAACACGACAACGGTGGACCGCCAATATATGTGACTGAAGATGTCAATGCAGCCACGACGTCGATGTGACCCGGCTTGCTCTTCACAATTATGGCTTTCACAAGTGGCAGTCAGTCTGTGAACAATGAAGGGCAAGCAATTTGGAGGCGATGGAAATGTCTTATTCCTCTATGGTTGCCGCATTCTGATCATGAGCCTCCCTTGAAAATTGGGACTATGACGGGGCGGCTCCAGTCGGTTGGGACAGTTTCCTTATCTCACAGTTTCACTAGGAACTCGTATAAATCATCCACAAGGGCAGTTCCCTCGAATTTGTAGTGGGCTGGAGGTAGATCATTTGGTCCTGCAGCTTTATTTAACTTTACGTTCGACTTCTGAGCGAGAGTGTGGATCCAAAGGGACAGTCCAGGGAGCGGAGCGATCAGTGGCCAGCGAGAAATCCAATGATTCCGGCCGATCAAATTGACTTTCCAAGTGCTCATCCCAACGGTCCAAGCGTTTTTACAAGTTGTGGATAGGCTTTCCACTCTCGTCACGTATAGTTTCACTAACACCAGGTCTGCTGCCCGTTTCCCGTACCAGACGGAATAACTTGTGATGGTTACCAAGGGCAGCGGACACTTCCATCTCTGACGCACGATGAAACCACCAGTCTTCACAGTCTCTCTTCATGCTAGCACGGAATTTTGCCCGGAGCTCTTTACGAGTTTTATTGTGTTCGCTTCCAGCCGCAATATGCCGTCAAGCATGTATAAGTTCCAGAGACTGTAAAGAGACCCAATGTCCATGTTGGCTAATGTACTTACCACATGAGGATTTGCCTGCTGCTAGTAGGGACTGGTGAACATGAGACCAGTGAGCGCTTGCTCAACTCGCATGACAGCGTACTTTGATAGGCATTCAGACCAGCTGATGCCAATGCGCTCACAACATCGTCTTGGGCGTCCGCCAAAACGCATCCGCAGGTCAGCGCATACAAGTGCATGGTCCGTGTCCACACATGTTCTGGGTGCAGCCTTTCCATCGGTAACTTCTCACAATGTGATTGTTCTACGTCCATAGCTGGTTCGAGACTGGTGGGCGCCAAGTCACCCTCCGGCGAGTGCTGTCGGAAATTAGTGCTCGCAAGAAATATGCCAGCATCTTCACGCTAATGAATTAACTGCTCACCGTTATCATTACGGGAGCCTATACCATGTTGCCCGCCCAGACGCAGTTCATCCGCGTATAATTTTCCAACTTGAGCGTTCAAATCCCTAGCCGGCACAAGTGTCCGAGCTTCTGTGTCGAAGGAGCTCGTTCAATTGGCAATAGAAGTCACCTTTACCGAATCATCGCTACAGCCTGTGGGCGCGTAGGCAGCGATAACCAATAGACACCTTGCGTCCTCGAAACTTTGAACGACTTAACCAATCGGACTGCATATAACCGCTACTGATTGAAATCCAGTCATTCAGCGCAGCCTTAGCCCGGGAACAGGGCGATACCAACACCGGTGCTCGACGCTGCGTCGTCACCGGATAGGCGTAATAAGAAAGTGCTGCTGGTGTCATCTGAAGGGGATCGCAAAGTGAGCACAGCTCGAGTCTTGCAGGTGGGTCTCAGATAAACAGTAGATGTTGATCGAAAGGGTCTCTAATATTCGGGCATATGCTGCTTGTTGACCGATCTGTTGCAGTATGTATACATTGAGGCATGCCAATCTGAAGGGTGATAGAGAGCTCCAAGTAAAAGTCGGTGAACTGTAATAGACCGCTTGGCTGGTCTTGGGCTTGTCGACAGGACAGGAATGACTCTCCGCGTTCACATGTGAGTTGAAACTAATAGGTTGTAGTTAAAAGGCCAAGCGGAAAGGGCTTAACTACATATAAGAACTCAGTCTATAAATAAGAATGCTGTAGCTGACCTTAGGTAAAGCACGATCTTCGCTAGGCCGTCAGTTAGTCGCACAATCTGGTCGGAAGACAGAACTTAGTCGGCACGATAAATCGACGCGTTAGATCCGATGGACGAGGCCAGCATGCAGACGACGACCAACAGCACAACGCGCGTAGCCGAAACAAGAAGACGATTCGAAACCCAAAGAAGTGTTTTATCGGTTGTTGCTCAGTTAAAACAAGACTACAATAAAAATGGAAATAAGAATAGGAAAGTACAATTGGGAAGAAAGATATGTACAAGCACTACAGAAGTCCCCCCTAGAGCGTGAGTCACTGAGACTAAAGCTCGATACTTGTGTCATTTACCGTAGTCTGGAAGGGAGAAAAACTACGTCCGAAGCGTGTTCGATGATGCGATTTCGAGTTTGTGTCGTGAGATGCTTAGGGTGCAGAAGAGGGAACAGATGTGTCAGACATGGGCTGAGTAGAATGCGTACTTGGGAAGGTAGGCTTGTCGGTGACAGGAATGTCCGTAGGTTTTGGTTTAGGTCGCGACTC